TTAAAAAAGTAAAAAAAGTAAAAAATAAATGATTTTATTATAATTTTATTGAATCTTGAAATTATTTAAATTTTACTAAGCAGCAAAAAAATAAAATTTAAATTACTTTAAATACTTACTTTTATATAGAATAAATTTTGTCTCTCCTTCAGAATTTAAGATTATTTTTAATATGTAATTGAAAATATCAGTATGAAAATGATGCTTTTTGCTACATACTTAAGTAATTATCCGATAATCAACTGTAAAAATGTAAAATTTCCAATTTTTTTTCGCAGATTTTTTTCCAGCATTATACGAACATTGGGACAAAATAGGAGACTTTATTGTTTGCAAAATTGTTTTATATAATTTGAGTAAAGTAGCTCGAAACAAGAAATATGTCAATACAACTTAAAGGCATTAAGCAATATTGGTTATGTATATAAATCCGGGGAAAAAAATTGTAAAATTGCGTTTTAATTGGGACTACTTTAAAAAGATTTTGAAATTTGTAGCTATGGTATTGGTACTTAATTCATATGTCAATGTCATCCAAAATTTAACTTAAGCTAGATTTAAAGTCAATATTCGGACGTCACTTCAATAGCATTTTTACACAAATTGTGAAATTTTTACACAAAATATCAATTTATTTTGCCTTCTATTTTCTGTCTTTTGCCTTCCGTATCGTGTCTTCTGCCTTTTGTCTTCTGTCTTCTGCCTTGTGTCTTCTGTCTTCTGTCTTTTGTCTTTTTTGTCTTCTATCTTCTGTCTTCTGTCTTCCGTCTTCCGTCTTCTATATTCTGTCTTCTGCCTTGTGTCTTCTGTCTTTTGTCTTTTTTGTCTTCTGTCTTCTCTCTTCTGTCTTCTATCTTCTGTCTTCTGTTTTCCGTCTTCCGTCTTCTATATTCTGTCTTCTGACTTGTGTCTTCTATCTTCTGTCTTCTGTCTTCTGTTTTCTGTGTTCTGTCTTCTATCTTCTGTCTTCCGTCTTCTATATTCTGTCTTCTGCCTTGTGTCTTCTGTCTTTTTTGTCTTCTGTCTTCTATCTTCTGTCTTCTATCTTTTATCTTCTGTCTTCTGTCTTCCGTCTTCTGGCTTCTATATTCTATCTTCTGTCTTCCGTCTTCTGTCTCCTATATTCTGTCTTCTGTCTTGTGTCTTCTATATTCTGTCTTCTGTCTTCTTCAGATACATAATTTCGGTATAAATAAGAAACTAAGCTGCAAATAGATGTAGCTTGGGTTCGTCAAAATTTTTTTAACTTTGTACTCAGATGGCCTGTAAACATTCAATTCGGAGCTATCGCTCTAAATTTTACAAATCTATCGATTTTTCAACTTTTGATTTTAATTAATCATATTATTTACAATCTTTTATTATTGTCTTACAGTTATTTGAAATTTTAATAATAAATTTAGATCAGGTCAAATAATTTTCAGTTCATGGCATGTGTATTATAGGTTCAAATTGTCTTACTTTTCAATCCATTTTGCACACAAAACCTTGATTTAATTTTTCTTTTCTAAATTGAAATTCGAAATTGATTTTTATGAAATATCTTGTCGGTTAGCTGTCAATATAGCCATCATTTTATTCGTGTAAATATGTGATTGTAGATCGAATTTAATAATAAATTTATTTAATATGATTTAGGGTTGCTATTTTCACTTCTTTTTTTGCGATCTGGTTTAATAAAAGCATTTTAACTTTTGTCGTAATCGTATTTGTTATAATTGTTTTTTTTTTCTCTTAACAAAATATTCTCACATTCTTATCTCTCATATCATTTTATGTAGCACATAACCATAGATTTCCTTTTTACATTGTTGATAAAAAAAAAAAAATAAGTAGCTTTCATAACCTTTATTTTTATTAAAAAAAAAAAAGAAAAATCTTTTTCGATTGAACAGCTAAAAAATGGGCTCATGTATGAAAAAGAGGAGGGCAAAAAAAAAAGCTTTTAAATTTTTCTCTATTTTTTTTATCTATTAAATTTAATTTCTTTTCTTTTGTTTATTTTATTTTTTTTCTATTTTTCCTTTTTTTTACATATTTCTTAAGACCTTACATAACTTTACTCACATAAACTTTTGCTTACTTATTCATCTATTTGGTTACTATATTAAAATAAAGGTAACAACAATAAGAGTATATAAAGGCAGAAAAAGAAGAACAAAAATAAAATGAGAAAAAAAAAGAGAAAATAAAAAATCTACTTTTGTTTTTCTCATGTAAAGCATTAATCTACTGTCATGATGAATTTATATATTATCACAAGTTCAAAAATGTTACTTGAACTCTCTTTACTTATTTTCATTATTATAAAATCTTTTTTGGCTTTATCAACAATTTAGAGTTGCCAACCAATTTAAAACAAAAAAAATACAGTTAGCTAAGTGATTATTTAAAAATAATCGGGAGTAAAGCTGTCGTTAAACGTAAATTTTTTTTATTGAACTTCGCTATTCAAAAGTAATAATAAGCATACACGATTTTCATTAAATTTTAACATTGAAAGTGCCCTTGTAGATTATAGATTGTAAACGCGGGGTAACAATGCACCACGACCACGTAGAAGTGAAAGCGCCCTTAGTATAATCTCAAAATGAATTTCTTATAAAAATTTGCTTAACACGTTCGGTTCAAGCGTCGCATGTATGTGACGTATCAGTTTTTGCTTTTGAGCCCGGGGTCGCAAATGTTTGGCGTGACTATCTTATCAGTTTTTGCTACGGTATTGCACTATTTTTGTGGAAAAAACAGATTTAATAGGTTATAGAACAATGAAATAACTGCAAAATGTTCTTCGTCTGAAAATAATAATATTTTTTTTATTCTAATTCTATAAATATAATATTAAAAAATCCAATGTCATTTAGAGTCGTTTCATAAGAAAAAATTCCATGATCTGTGGTACAAGCTTTTCTTCTCAAGCTGCGGTAGCGAACGTGTTAAGCGTATTGTATACCTTTTAAATAAAGCATGGATATATTAATTGTTTTTAGAATTATTTTTAAATTTACTGAAAGTCATGCATATTCGGCTTTTTGCTTATATACTTGTCATATACGTGTTAAACGAAAAAAAAATAACGTTAATTTATATCAGAACACTACTTAACTCAATTTTTCCCTTATGCGACTCTGGATCGGACACTAGAAATAGAAATGAATTACTTGAAATTAGTTACCCTTCTGAATGAGCTTAATAAAATATTCATCTAAAATTTTGAATTGAAAGGCACTTAAAACTAGTTTTTGCGTTCTAAAACTGTTATAACTGTAGTAATTTGGAAGCAAATGGTAATAATCGTCCATTTCCCTAAATTTATACCTTTTGGCATTCTTTTTCATTTTCACATATTTTCTTATACTTACTTATTTCATTTTCTTTTCATACAAAAAAAAAAAGAAAAAATTTAAAGACTGTAATTCACGTTTTTACTACAATATATGAGATTAGAATGAATATAACTACCAAAAATAATAATAAAAAAATAAAATTAAAAGAAAAAAAAATAAGTGGAAAATCAGTAAACTTTTCCTTTAATATTGGATAAGAGTAGAATAGCTGCTGAGTACATAGCAAATAAAACAAAAGCATAATATGAAAAAAAAACAAAAAAAAAACAAAGAGAGAGGGAGAAAATGTTCAAGTTCTTATCAGAATTTTTGCAGTTTTTTTACTTAAAAAATAATCTTTCGCTATAAATTTTCTAAATAAATTTTGAAGTTTTTCAACACAAGGCAAAAACAAAAAAAAAAACCCAAACGAGAGAAAAAAAAATAAAAATAATAAACTAAAAACAAAAGGAATGTCTACTGTTGCTCTTTTTTCTCTTTTTTTCACTCTTTTCTGTTGTTTGTTTATTCTTTTGTTGCTGCTGCTGCTGTTGCTAATGCTACTGTTACTGTTCTTTGCTACTTACGAGTATACCATACTTTAATAAAAATATTTTCTTTAAAATATCAAAAAAGTATGCTTGGTATTGGTTGGTTAAAAAATTTTCTTATTTTGTTTTCGGTTCTTTGTATTTTTTAGTAAGTCTTATATAGAAAGGAATTAGTTAACTTGACAGTTCAGACGGAGTACTAAAATAAAAGAATTCAATTTTTTGTTTTTGTTTCTGTGCAAAAGCTTAAATGTTTTTGTTGGTTTATTCTGGAATTTTCTCAAAATGTACCTATTATGTATAAAGCTAGTTACTTTTTAAGTAAAATATTTATTTTAAAATTAAAATTTCAAAAGATGGAATTTAATTTCAGAAAAAAAAAAAAATAATTTTCTCAATAAGGTTTATTAAATTTAAATTTAAAAAGATTGTTAAAAATTGTGGACAGGGAAGCGCATAGATTCTATTAAAATTTCTGAAATAATTTCATTTAAATAAGAATTTAATAATTATATTTGAGAAAATATTCGATATCCGCACAAGTTCTTCGAGATTTTTTACGTAAGAGCGCAAATACTAATATTTTATTAAATTTTGGTTATTTATAGGAGCAGCATATAAATATTGAACCTCAAGACTTATATAGAAGAAGGTTAGAATAGAAAGACAACACTTCCGTGCCTTTCTTCGCGAAATGTAGCCCAAAAACACGATAGAGCAAAATTAATGATTAATTTGTTTGACTATTTTTAGGAATTTATGATTGGTCTAAAGTTGCCAACTTTTTGATATGTCTGACGACAATTTGAGTCCGCCTTTCATTGTCTCCTAATGATTTTTATCGCCTATAATAAAAAACAAGATAAGAGGGCGAATTTCTCGGTATTATATTTTTCTTGACAAAAACAAAATTATAAAATTTTTATTTTCACTACATGTTATACTTGAAATCTACGAGTACATTTGTTAATGCCTCAATGTTTGTCAAAACTAGCAACTGACAAAAAAGTAAATTTAATTTCTTGTAGTTACAATTTTTGACTAAAAACAATTTTATTTGAAACTACACTTATTTTTCTCTTAATTAACAATAATTTTAATTTTTGTTTCTTTTTCATTTCAGGTAAGTTTTGCTATTTTTATATCAGAGACAACAACCAGAATTTTTGCATGCTGCAATAAAATAAGTACTAGAAATTCTAATTTTGAGTAAGATTTTTTAAATTAATATGTAATATTTATTATACAAAAGTGTCGTGCTAATAAAGATAATTAAAATGAAATCGTGACCAGCAATATTATGTATTTAAACTATTACACATGTTTGTAGTTAATTACCATAAAACGGAAAATCATAACTACAATAATAACACCAAAAAATACCAAATTATTTGGTATTTAAGCTCAAAATGTCATAAATAAACAAAATAAAGTAGGACCTCTATAACTCGAAGCCACAGTGAGACGCTAAAACATTTCAAGTTATGGAGATTTCGACTTGAAGATAAAAAAAAAAGGCTAGGCCAATGTTCAAGGGACCTTATGAGTTCCTTCGAGGTGAAAGAGATTTTCAATTTGTAGAGGTTCGAGTTGTGGAGGCTCCACTGTATTTCATTTTCATGTAGTAAGTTTATATATTGCACAATATTTTTAGTGCCTCGAAATAACTACCGCTTTCTGACAAGTTCAAATTTTATATGTTAATTTAGCTTTTAAACTATAGGTGGTTACAACTTGATGCAATTTAAAAATTTGTGTGTCGACATTGCTGGAGCTTGAAATGCCTTTATTGTTACACTTACACAACTCAATATTCCAAATATGTATATAAGTCGTAATATCTAACATGTCTCTTCATATATCAAGAGCATCGCAGGATTTCGAAAATTCGCTTAAAAACGGACAATCTTTTTTATTATAGTTTAGCCGGAAAATGCATTTGAAAATTTTTTAAATTATATGTAAAATTTAAAATATAATTTTTAAATTTTATAACCTTCTTTCATTTTAACTAACCTTCAATTATCCTCCACTAATGATTTACTTTAAATACTAATGATTATTTACTGCTCAAATATAAATTATAGCGTTATATACTAGAAAAAATTGTTCTAATCTTAATATAATTTTCTAATTTAAATCCAAATTACCCAATTATGTAGGTTTTAAAGTAAAAAAAAAAAATTCGTTATTTATGTTTTAAGTAATGTTTATAGATCAAGAGAAAGAAAAATAAAAACAAAATATAAAAGAATCTGCAGCCCACCCGAATTTTAAATCACTTTAAGGCTTCTTTATCCATATTGTGAAAAACAAAGTAAAAATAAGAAAAAAAAATTTAAAATTTTTGCATATTTCTAGCAAATTTTCAATTCTCTTAAAGAAAATTTTAAAATAAATAAAAATAAAAATGAAAAAAAAATAAATGCATTGCTGTATACGAAAATCTCTCTAACCTCAAAAAATACCATAAATTTTTTCCAAGTATAATTTTCCTATGCTTTTCCTATACCATTTAACAATAATATCACATATGTACATACTATATATAAATAAATATGTAAATATATTATTTAAAATAATAGTTAGTGGTATTATAATAAAATTTCGCCCACAAAATTATAATAAGAAACGACAGTACAATAGATGTACAAAATATTTTGAAATTTGCATTTTATTTTTCTTATATTAATGTGTTCTCTTTCTTACACATTAATAATATTAATGTGCAAGAATAAAGAGAAAAAAAAACTAGTGTATTAGAAGAACAGAGGAAATTTTAGTATTTTGATATTAAAATAGTTGAAAATATTGGCTAATTTTTAAATAAATAATCATTTTTTTTTTAAATCTTATTAAATAGTACGCCTGCAGATATGCAATTTTTTGTTAACTGTATTATATAGAAATAAAAAAAGCTTTGCATTGAATTACTTGAAATATTAATCAAATCATTATTTTGCATAGTATTTTAATTGAGATAATTTTCTTGAAAAACTAGAATAATATTGTATTTGACCACCCACCACTCTTGTTCTACATAAACTACTAATAAATTATATACCTGGACTTATATTAACCAGAACAATTACTATGCCCATTTACTATCAAATTTATTGAACCTGAGGGTAATTTTAGATTTCCACGAAAATTGGAAACAACTTACAGAGGCTGAAAAAATGTAGGCTCGTACGGGTTTGATAATAAACTAATTACTAACTGGGAAAAGTTTTCTTAAGAAATTGTTGTAAAGTAACAAAGTTTTCGCTTAAAAATTGGTCATTAATTTGAATGTTGAAAATTTTGTGAATATTTTCTCGATTAATAAAATAATGACATTCCTGCATTAGTAAACTGCAGTAAATGCAATTTTGTTTTTGAATGAAAATTTGAAATTGCTTGCGAGCGGGTTTTGTTATAATATTTTTAAATTGCTCCATATAATTAGAGCCACAACTATGCGCGGAATAAAATAGAATGTCTTTAAAGGATCTTGAGATTTAATAATGCAGTGAGTGCAATAGCATATGGTGAGATTTTTATATAAATAGTTCAGGTCAGTTTTTTTGATTAAAATTAAAGCAGTAAAATTAGTTTTTGCTTTTTCGAAGTGCAAACATAATGTGTTGCACACAAATATTTTAAAACCATAAATAATTCTTTTTTATTGGTACACTTAACTTTTACTCTTTTTGAAGACCAAATTACATACCTATACAAAAAAGAAGGTATTGTAATCGTATCAAATTTTTTTTTTTCTGAATATTTTACAGAAACGAGTTCATCCGTGTTAGAGAAATACAATTTTTCGAAATTATTCGTGCACTCTTGCATTTCAATATCAACTAAACGATTATAGGTCACGGTTTACTAATAATTAACGAATTCAGTTAGAAAATTTTTATGTAAGTATAGTTCTTTATTTTTATTATACACATTAGTTCTTAGCAAAATCTAATGTGTATAATTAGAAAAGCGATTCTTTCCCAATTCGAAATTTCTACACGAATTTTTAAGCAAAACCTTATAAAAAATTTTTTTACAATAATGAGTATATAATTGCCACTTCATCAAAATTGTTTCTGAATTAAAATTTTTTTCTTGAAAATAGCAGAAAAAATTTTTTGTAAACAAAATTTCCTTTTGGCAAAATTCAGTTTAAAATTCATTTTATGTTTTTCTATTATTTTGTTTTTCGCGAATACAACCAAATTCTGTTGCAGCATCAAATACCAATATGATAATTTATTTTGTGATATATATAATAATTTACCTGGTAGAGAAAAAAAAAATACCAAATTTACCTATATGACGCACCCATGTATATTTTGCTTGTTGTTTGTTTGTGCCAAATTAATTTTTGCGCGCTTTTTTCTTATAATACACTTTGAATGCATGTTATACTCTTGTGCATTACTCATGTATAGCTAGTGGCATGTGTAACGTCTATGCATATTGGTGTGCATATATGTACAATGAAAACTCATAGATGCTATGCATACTTACCGCGAAAATTTTTTCCTCTTTTTTTATTTTGACGGCATACTCGTACAGTATTCTTTCGGTCCATTGAAATTTAGTATGCATTATTTTTGCTTTAAAAAGAAAAAATAAAAAACGAGTTGAATATGAAAAAATTGGGTAAGCAAAAAAAAAAGTACAAAATTTAAATTGAAGAAAATTTTTTCTCCTCTTTTTTTAAGAAAAATGAGAAAAATAACTAACAGAGTTTTCGATTTAATTCAAGTCAATTTTATTATTATTTTTGCTTTATTTTCTTATTTTAAGTTTTACTTAAAAAAAATTTTTCAATATTATTCATCCGTTATAAGAGTTATCGTACTGTATGAAAAAGGAATTTCAAAAATAAAAAATTTCGTGAACGGCAAGACCTAAAATTGTATAACTCACAGTATCCACATGAAAAATTGGCAAATGGTAAAATTTCGTAAAAATTATTGGCACGATCAATAACAAATTATGAATCATTATCATCTTGACATAAAATCAGTTTTTGTTTACCAGAATTCTTGCGGGATTAAGTATATCGTAAGTAAAATGGCGTTTAATGATATTACAAATTCATCAACGTTAAAAGTTCAGCAACGTGACAATTCAAATTTTATGTCACTTCGTGACATTCGTTTGTAATTGTGTATTTCATTACAGGTTATCCTCAGGTAGTGCTTTTTAAAAGAAGGACAGTCGAAAACTGTCCCTCTTTTTACTCACTCTCAGAAAAGTATGATAAAATTGTTTAAAATGAGGCCTTCATTTAAGTTCATTATATTCATTCATTCATTCATTCACTTACGTTAATTACAATTCAAATAATATTCGTGTAAATTGAATCTATATTGGTTTGTATTAATTAATGTAGTACATTAAAACAAATAAACAATACGTAATATTCTTTTCGGGACCCTAGCTTATAATTCATATGGACACGAAATGAATCTTGTACAATATTATTAATTATATTTTATTTTATTTAAATAAGAGTTAGAAAATTATCAGTTAGCTAACAATTTTGAATAATTTTTAAATGTTTTTTTCAAAAATTATAACGGTAACACTTTTTTGGTAGACAAAATTTTACAATAAGTTTTTATGTAATAACAAAGCCATTATAAATAACAACTATAATACAATTTAGAAAATAAATTAAAATATAACTATTTAAAATATAAGTACGTATACATTATTATAAGTATTAAATTATTTAGTGTATGTAGTTGTGTTTATTTTGTATAATAGTATATAAAGTTCTTAAGAATCGTAAATTTATTTTATAGAACATGTACTTTAAGTTGATTTAACCACTTTAAAAAAGGGTTTCTATTATATAAGTATAAAATATTTTATTGTACTCGCAAGTTGGTAAGTGTATAAAGCAGTAGTGCGGGTGTTTTTTTTTGAATGAGAAAAGAAATTAAATTCTTGTAATTTAGAAACATTAATATTTTATACATAAATATTGAAAATACTCATTTGCATACATATAAGAATTTTAGTATTTAAAGTAGTGATTTAAAATAATGTAATTCCTATATTGTGTTATTGTGGCATGTAAGTTAGTATAATAGTTAGAAGTTATTTTCCAAGAATAATTCAGTTAGACTTGGTATGCATATTCAAAATTGTAATTGTATGCATATATGAATATATTATATTTGAATGTATAGTTTCTCAAATGGTTCATTTTTAATAGAATTTTCATTAAAACTCGTAAATATTTACGTTCCTTATTGTTCTATTATTGTTATGACATTTAGATTTAGTATATATTACTTTATTCTGTATATGGAAGAATTGTATAGTTTATTCAA